CCTTGAGAAAGCGTGGGCTACGGATGGGAACCAATTCAGTTTAGCTCCAAGCTGCTTTTCGTAGCGGAACCGGTGCAAGTTAATAACATAGCGGACGTCACCTATCCCCTTCGTTGATTTTCGAAGACTGTGAGGCTAGATTGTGACTCAAGACTAAATAAATCACGTTACCGCAGACAAGTGAGTGAGTTTAAAAAAATTCGTTGTTGGATATGTCTGAACAAGCTTACCCATCTCTGCCTGCATAATTTCCTTCGCTCTAGCTATGCGTTTTCGATCTGCAGTCTCTGGATAAACGAGAAAACAAGCGTTGCTGAAACCCGTCTCAGTCCACGAGATTACTCCGTTCAGTATAGATTCGCAGTAAAACATTTGAGCATCCTGCAAACATGATTTTTACGTCTAATCGTCTAATTGTAAGGGATAATACCTGTAAAATTGTCATAATTTATCCCCTCTATATATAAAGCAGTTTGGTGTGTTTGTTTGTCCAGCATTCTATGGCTCCCTTGGCTAGATTGGAGAGAATAGTTGGTATAGTACCCCGAATGGGTGGGAAGTTGCCCTGAGGGCGTGTGCAGTTGAGGGCAGGGCTCGAAGTGAGTACGGTAGTGGGCGGGGTCCGACCTGAGGGGCGGGGCTTGCGCCAAAATCTCTGCGGAGAATATCGATTTTCGCGCAGAAGGCTCGAAGGAGGTTGGGAATCGCAGTATTGATTGGGTGCTGCAGTAAAAGTGGAAATTTCTCTGCATTATACACTCTATCCCCTCCCTTTTATATATAAAGCAGTAGTTTGGTGTGTCTGTCTGTTTGTAACCATTAGGCTCGCTGCACGTAGTACCCAAGAAAACGGTTAGGGCATGGCCCCGGATGGGTGCGAAGGTTGCCCTTGAAGTGTGTTCGCTTGGAGGCAGGTCTTGGCTAAGAGTGGGCACGGTGGTGGGCGGGGTTCAATCCAAGGTACTGAGCTTGGGCCAATATCTCTCTTGAAAGAAGTGGTTTTCATGCAGGAAGCTGGAATGAGATGAGGAAACATGGTTGGTTGGGTGCACAGTAAAAGTGGAAATTTCATCGCGTCATGCATCGATCGATATCGATTGAAAATATCGGTTTTTGCGCAGAAAGGTGGGAAATCACAATATCGGGTAGGTAATCGGGTGCAGTAACAGAAGCTACCTCAAAGCGAAGCTGAACTGGTGATTAAATCATTGTTGTGAATAATAGTATCGCTGCACAAGGAGAAAAGGCATCATCGTTGACGCAGAACTTGCCAACCAACACCGGAAGATTAACAATGTCATCAACACTGGCTTCGGCAGACTCACCTTTTCGCAGTATCACGATTACAATTACTGCGGTCCAGCACAATATACCAATTAATATACCAATATGGTTTCTACTACACGTCTGATTGTCTGCTACAGAAGAGAGACAAGTGGGGCTGAACTGGTAAGGATACTTATAAACGCGCTCCAACAACGGCAACTCTCCAGAAGTTCTCAGAGCTGCTTGTACTCAGATCTCTACGGTGCACAAGGAGAAAATTAATTAGCAATGATGCATAACTTCCCGCGCTGGGATTCAGACTCCCCTTTTTCAGTATCACAAAAATATTACTGCGATGCTTTTATTTAGTTTATCACTATAAGCTA